CCTATTATATCAGTGGAGGCCAGACACCACCCCCTACACCCTGCTTACAGTAATTCATAAAAAGATATAAACTAGCTTGTGCTGCTGTTAATGTGAAGTGCTGTCAAGTCAGTTCTGACTCATAGTGACCTGTATAGGGTTTCCAAGGAACAGTGGTTGGGTTTGAACTGTCAATGTTGTGGTTAGCAGTCCAGCGTTTATCCAACAGTGTCACACTATAGCTGAGAGCACATATGAAATTAGTTCACTCTAATATTTAGTGACAAATGTCAAAATTAAATAGAAAGAAGTTTACTGATAATTGTATTATTTGATTTTTCGAAGAGTTATGAAAATCATATATAAATTGATAATTAAAAGGTATCATTAAAATGTATTTGTGCCTTAATCTGTGGCCTAATAAAAGTTCTCTCAAATAGAAAATATTTAAAGAATGCAGATTAGTATCAGATTAAGCATTTATACTAAGAATAGTGAGAGAGAGCTAAGGTCCACAGTAAATACCGGATAAAAACCTTAGTGATACACATTTCTGAATCAAAAGTCCTTTTGATTAGAAGTATAAATGAAAGTATATTAAAATCATTAAGTTATATATTGTAATATATGATTATTGCTTAATAACTGTTTTTAATAAGATTTATATGTGTGTGTGAATGTATCAGACTACCCCAGAACAGATAATTAATGAACTATGTTCCTAAAATGAAAATTCAATTGTGCTATGATCATATCAAGTCCAAACAATACATACTTTGCAGACTGAACACTGAGAAGTAGCTGCTCCCGCAATGTCAAATCTTCACTAATGTGCCATGATGAATAACATGTGTCTGTGCCAATCATTCTGAACACAAACTTTAGCTTTGGTATAAGCCAAAACAATAGTAAATGTTGTGCAAAAGTCTAAACACTAATGACCAAAAATACTACCAGACTAAATCATTAAGCATTTATTTTGAAAAAAACAACTTTCACTTAAAATATTAATGTTTTAGAGCTTTGGGAATATCTCAATGGGAAAGAATCCATAACACTGACACAAGGTGAATTTAAGCTTTAGGTTTCATTTTTCAAATTAGAATGACCAAAACAAAATACATTTGGAAGAGAAAAGTGGTACTGATAAAAATGTATGGAGGACAACAGATGTGAACTGGGAATATCTCAAACAAACTAGATTATATGATACCTTACTTGTAAAGAAAGCAACATCAACAAATCCAAATAATCTTTGATCTACTAAGTTTTTAAAATGTTTACTTTTGTTTTAGTTTGAAAGTCTGCATATGTCATTATATATATGGAATAGAGAGAAAGACTGTCTTTATATTTCTTCTGCCCAAATTCCAGTTCTATTATGCCCCTGTGTGGCCAACCATCACAGCAAATTCACTGCCACACATTTAGTGACAGAGATCCATTTAGAGGAAAATTCAGATCTCTTCATTATATAAGAAAGATGGCTTAAAGCAGCAAATGAAAGTACTTAAAGGTATAAAATCCATTTCCCACAAACCCTACAAAATATAGTAGTGATTATAATGTTCATTTGTACCAAGCAATTGATTATTCAGTGCAGTGAAGAGAATCCCACTAAAAAATACATCTTTCAGCATTTCAGTATTTTCATTTGCTTCCAAAAAGAGGATCAGAAAGGTTACATCTGATAATGAATTCAATACTTGAGGACTTTCTACTTTGACAGCAGCAATTATCTTTCTGTGCTGATTAAATAATTTAAGAAAAATGAGTCTACAGTAGAAAGGGCTTGATAACAAGACTGGATGGTTTAAATAGCAAGAATTTAAATTGAAGTGAAATTTCATCAAAATCTATCAAGTGGACTTACAGGCGGAAGGACGGACACCAATAATTTTTTTCTTGCTGGATCTGCAGTTGTTTCATTTTAACTGTAAAACAACAGAAGACCCCCTGCTACTTCTCTTATGCACTAAAATGGTACTCAGGAAGCACAATGATTGGGAAAAAAAAAAAAAGGCTAAGAACACTTAGTCTGAAACATAAGGGCTGTGCTATGTGGTTTCTAATGTAAAAGTCAGAATAAAATATTCTAATTACTGTCACTCATAAATAAATTTCAAGTATATGCTAGGTAATAAAGTAGTTTGCCAATCCATGTTAATCTCTAGTTTAGTAACTTCTGATACATAAATATTATTGTCATCCTTTCGATCTTTGTTCCCTTACATGTTAAACTTTGGGCATTTTTGTAGCAAGTACTATGAGAGATTCTTATCTTTTGATTTTTTTTTTTTTGGCAACATGCCAGAGAAGTAAATTGCCTGCCCCACCATCTAAAATCCTAATGAAAGTTGAGTTGCAGAATTAGCAATAAGATTAGTTTACACCTAAGGAAACAACTCAGTCTAAAAACTACCTGGAATGGTCCCCTTCTATTAATATATGGCGTACAATCAAAGCATAGGATATTCTTCTAGTAATTTCTCCTGAAAAGCAGCTGAGAACAAAAAAGAAATAATCTTATTGTCTATATCGCTGATGTTTTTCCAACATTTTTTTAAAGGCATAGTTAATGTCACATTACAAACACAGAATATGACATTTTAACTAGTCCAGAGGAGATAGTTATGTAATAGATGCTTAAAATGTACAAGATCATATATCTCCAATCCATAAAGTTGGAGGCCCCATCGTTATAATAAAATTTTAAAAAATAAATTATTGTACAAGCATCTCTTATAATGACATATTCAGATCATATCTATGTATTTTTTTCAAGAATGAATTTTTAATCTATATTTTACTTTCTAATTCAATGCTAAGGGAAACATGAATGCCTAGCTCATTATTTTAAAAATTAGAGCAGAATAAAAAAAAATTAAAGAACACTGTATTTGACCCGAACACAAGAAATAATCAAAATATTAGCATGTACCAAAAAATCAAGTCCACTCCATTGAACTGATTCCGACTCACAGTGACCCTGTATGACAGAGCACTGCAAGTTCATTTGCACTTACCTCTCACTCTTTACACTCCCAGCAGAACAACTAGATCACTGGTTTAACTGATTTTAGAAGTGGATCGAGTAATTGATCTATTTGTGAAATAATACTATATACTTTTAAACGACTAATTAGTTAAGAACATTTAAAGGCAGGGTTTGCTTGGATTTTTCCCTAAAATGCTTTATAGATTAATTAATAGTTTTAGATAATTTTAGATGAGATAATCAAAATAAAACAAGACATATCTTCTAAAAGTCTTGGAAATTTTGCAATTTAATATTTAATTGTGACAGCATCAAATTCCAGAGCCTTCACAGCACTACAATTATAGGCATACTAATGATAAAACTTGAAGTCAAAATCACAAAGATAGGAATACACACAATTCTTAAAAATTCATATTTTCATTTTTAAAATAACTGATTGCTATATATAGCATAATTTATAAAGTGAATATATACCTAGTCCTAATATTAATATTTTTAAGCACATAAATTCTAGCATTAATAAAAGACATGAGAATAAAATTAGGAAAAGACTTATAAGAATGAATACAAATACTAAAATCCTGGTAGCTTCAGGTCATGGAAAATTTTTAAGACGATACTGTCTCTTTTATTGAAGTATAGCCTACAACACAGAATGTTGTGGTAGGTTTTTTTGTTTTTGTTTTTTAAATCATAAAATACAGATGCTCAGACAACGTATTCATTTAAAAAAAAAAAAAGAGTATCTTAAAATACAGATAGCCTACTATATAAAAACCCTAACATTTCATATACTTTTATACATTTTAAATTAGCCTAAAAATACAATATGAGAAAATCAAATTGGTTAAAGTGAACAGAGCTTCAGAGGAAAATAAGCTAAATTCTATACTTTAAAAAAAAAAAAAAAAAGAATAGACATGCTACTCCATATTCAGAACAAAGGTCATAAATATATTTTCAGCAGTAAACATTTTAACTTCTAATAAATTAATTTTTAAAGCTTCCTTTTCATTTGATAAATACAGCTATTTACTCTGTAGAAGAGGTATTATTTTTAGGAATCTTTAAAACAGATGGCCCAGAGATCCTAAAAGGAAGATCAGCAAAGCCATTCAATATTCTATGCACTATTAGTTCCCCTTCAATTTCCAGAAGGTTTCAGTGTATGGTCGTGGTCACTGAATTCCTTCCTCTGTCTTGCTGCTCACATACTTAGTAAAGATGGGACATTTCTATACTAGGTATCTAACATTAGAAATTCTCAAAAGGCAAACAACTTAAATGAAATGATAAATCTGCATTTAAAATATATCCTTTAACAAAATCTCTTTGTAGTGCAAGCCAGGGAAACCATCTAAAACATATGTCCATAATTTTAAAACCTCCCACCGCACACACACACACACACACACACACACAGAGAGAGAGAGAGAGATCAAACTGAACAAGCAATAGGAATTTACAACAAAGATTTCTTACAAAGTAGCCAGCTTAATAGAAAGCATTATCATCAGTTCCATAACGTAGCCTGTTTAAAAGTGATTATTGATCTCCTCTGCATAGAGAAATGTCTTAGACCTAAAAAACATCTTCTGCACACTCTACAAAGAGCATGGTTGATTGCTAATTCACATTGTCCAACAAATCACATATTGTTATATAGTCCTATCCCTACATATGCAATTTCATCACTACCATGACCTTAAAGAAAACATCAATCAGGCATTTAAAGTTCATTTTAATTATTAGAAAATGAGGAAAAGAAAAGAGCCCAACTGGTCCCTGTATTATCTTTCAGAGGTCAGGCTAGTGAAATTTAAGATGCTTTTTATTCTTTGAAGCAAGCTTCTTTTACTTTTTAAAGTCCAATTAAGAAAATGCTATATAAAATGTTATATGTATGATTTTTAAAACCCTAATACTACTAACATTTCAATATAGAACAATTTTTCCACACATAGAAGATTATTATACTGAAAATACAAATATTAAACAAATACAGTTTAGCTCTACTCACCTTGCATTGTTCAGCGTTTGTCCAAAAAGCTCATTTTGTAAAATATTTGGTGGGGATGAAAAAACCCCATGGAAATGAGATAAAACGGAATTGCAGACCTGGCGCAATGTCTCAAATTGCATTTTCTTTCTTTTTTTCCGTCCCTTATTTCTCCTTACCACCTGTCTTTTAAAGTCATCTATTTGCAGTCACCATCGAATACAAACATGCCAATCAAGTTCCATATTTCTCCTGGTCTCTGAAAAAACTGGGCTTAAATGAGCAGAGGTTGATAGTTAATTGTACAGTCATTATTCTTCTAATTCAGTCGTAGAAGATTCAGTACCCGTGCAGCTTTCGGCTTTCTCCTGACTGTAGCAAGAATTCTAAACAGCAGTAAGCTTTTTGGGCATTCCCAGCTGAAGTGTGAAGCTGAGCTGCTTTCATGTACTCTACTCATATTTCTAGAAGCCTATTTAAAACACGCAATGAATAGATGCTGCCGTCAGGAGTTTCAGCACATCTGGCTGCCAGCAATAAAATCTCAGAAGTAATAAAAATGGGGACAAGGTATCTTCTCAATGTTACTATTGGGTAAAGAGGAAAAGAAATGATGCATTTCCCCAACCCTTTTCTCTTTCCCTGGAAAATGAATAACTCCAGCAACAGAGCATATAGGTCTCTCCAGTGTGCAGGCAGGCTGCTGCAGAGGACCAGAGACACTGTAAAAAAAAAAAAAAAAAAAAA